TTATCTTTTTGTTTGTTTGTTTTTTTGAGACCAGGTCTCACTCTGCCACCCGGGCTGGAGTGTATGCTCACAGCTTCCTGTAGCCTCAAACTCTTTGGTTCAAGAGATCCTCCCACTTCAGTCTCCCTAATATCTGGGACCACAGGTATGCACCACCATGCCTGGCTAACTTTTGTATTTTTTCTAGAGATGGAGTTTCCCCACATTCCCCAAGTTGGTCTCAAACTCTTAGGTTCAGGCAGTCTACCCACCTCAGCCTCCCAAAGTGCTGGGATTACAGGCATGAGCCACTTTCAAATTTTTAATTTGCCAAGCCTGTTTTCAAATTTTTAATGAAATAGAATCCAGAGGTGTATTTAACCTAGTAAATGATTTTTTTTTCTAATAAAGACTAGGTTTCACTATGTTGCCCAGGCTGGTCTTAAACTCCTGAGCTCAAGTGATTCTCCTGCCTTGGCCTCAAAATGCTAGGATTATAGGTGTGAGCCACCACACCTGGTCTTACTTACTGAATTTTGTTGGACTTTTGACAATCCAGATATTTTCTAATTAAAGAATTTCTGTTCATTAGCCTAGTAATGTGTATGCTAACTGGGCCATGACAGGTGCATTTTGGTTTAAAGATTGCTTCTTTGAGAGTCCAGAGTAGTATTTTGAAGAAAAGATTGTTTCTTGTTGTTACTGTAATAAACTGGAAACATATTTAAAGTGTGGGTAACATGAGGTGCTCCCTCCACTGTTCCCATATCATGAGGACAGGAACTATGTCCCCAGGATTCAGACTAGGACTTGATGTTTTATCTGGCCCAAGCATCTGTGAATATGAGGATGTATGAATTCATGTTTCACAAATTAGTCACATAAACTAGTGCTTCTCAAAGCATAGTCAGTTCCTTAGCAATCTTTGCAAACTAGTGGTGGGAAGAAAATCATTAATTTCTACGTTATTTACTAGACGATGGGAGGTTTGGACTGTCATTCAAAGTGAACAAACAGACACAAACTTTGGTGCTGTGTCATGAGGAAAGCCAAGGGTCTACCTACCGAAAGGAACTCCACGTCAACTTTTCACAAGATCTAGAATTCCCACTGGAACCCTTTCCTCGAGAGCCTGTTTCATGAGTTACATATACTTTATCATGTGAACTTGAGGAATTATCCATTTCCTAAGGGATGTTTCATCAGTTCATTTAATAGCACTGGTAGTAGGACCCCCTGAGAAGATGGAATGTAAGAAGATGGGTTTAATATACATACATGGCAAAGGAATATGGATATAAGAAAAGCCCAAGGCCTGGAGCATAATCCTTGAGGGCTCTTTGGAATCCAGGGTCACTTGAAGGAATCTAAAGGCCAGGGCAGTGTGGAAGGACAACAAAATCAAATCAGGCCCGTCCTACAGGGAAGTCAATAGAATAAATGTCAAAAGAGACCACAGGAAAGGACAATGTGATATGACCTTTCACTCAAGGGAGTTGCCATGGCAAACCGTGTCTGGAAAAAGAAATAATGATAATTATGGCCTATTCACTGTGTTAGGAACCATTCTAAATGCTATGCATGAATCATGAATGCTTACAAAAACCTTATGGGATAAGTACAATGCCTATATACATTTTGCAGGTCAGGAAACTGAGGCATAGGCAGATCCAAAGTCCCTGAGACTTCAGACCAGGCATTCTAACTGCATAGTCATTAGACCTAAGCATTATATTATACTTCCTGAAGACAAGCTGTATGTATTTCAGGGCTTCTGGGAAAGACAAAAGAAAAACTTTAAGTGTATGCCTGGCAGAACAGTCTGTCTGTGATGCCAGATTTCTTCTACCTCATTATCTGAAGTCTTAGAAAATACAGAACATACTATGAATTGTCAGTACATGGACACAGAGGGGAACAACACACACAGGGGCTGGGAGGAGGGAGAAGATCAGGAAAAATAGCGCGTATAGGCTTAATACCTGGGTGGCAAAATAATTTGTGCAACAAACTCCCATGATACAAGTTTACCTGTACCACAAATCTTTTTTTTTATTTTTTATTGCATTTTAGGTTTTGGGGTACATGTGAAGAACGTGCAAGATAGTTGCATAGGTACACATGTGGCAGTGTGATTTGCTGCCTTCCTCCCCTTCACCTATATCTGACATTTCTCCCCATGCCATCTCTCCCCAACTCCCCACCCCCTGCTGTCCCTCCCCTCTTCCCCTCAACAGACCCCAGTGTGTAGTGCTCCCCTCCCTGTGTCCATGTGTTCTCATTGTTCAACACCCACCTATGAGTGAGAACAAGCAGTATTTCATTTTCTGTTCTTGTATCAGTTTGCTGAGAATGATCTTCTCCAGGTTCATCCATGTACCTACAAAGGACACGAACTCATCGTTTTTGATTGCTGCATAATATTCCATGGTGTACATGTGCCACATTTTCCCTGTCCAGTCTATCATTGATGGGCATTTCGGTTGGTTCCAGGTCTTTGCTATTGTAAACAGTGCTGCAGTGAACATTCGTGTGCATGTGTCCTTATAGTAGAACGATTTATAGTCCTTTGGATATATACCCAGTAATAGGATTGCTGGGTCAAATGGAATTTCTATCTAGGTCCTTGAGGAATCGCCACACTGTCTTCTACAGTGGTTGAACTAATTTACACTCCCATCAGCAGTGTAAAAGTGTTCCTATTTCTCCACATCCTCTCCGGCATCTGTTGTCTCCAGATCTTTACATGTGCCCCTGAACTTAAAATAAAAGTTAAACTTTAAAAAATCATCTAGTTCTAAGACATTTGGCCTAAGATAGATTTGAGGACCCATATAACCCAAACCTAAATCTTTTATCTGACCCAGAATATTTTCTTGGGTTAAAGTTTCTTGAATGTAAGGGATTTTTTGTGGTGGTGGTGTTCTGAAGTCTTAGCCAAGAAATATTTTCTTTTTTGAGACAGGATCTCACTCTATCACCTGGGCTGGAGTGCAGTGGTGCAGTCTTGGCTCACTGCAACCTCTGCCTCCTGGGCTCAAGCAATTCTCATGCCTGAGCTTCCTGCGTAGCTGGGATTACCGGTGTGTGCCACCACACCTGGCTAATTTTTGTATTTTCAGTAGATACACTATGTTATCCAGGCTGGTCTTGAACTCCTGGCCTCAAGTGATCTGCCTGTCTCAGCCTCCCAAAGTTACAGGCATGAGCCAACATGACCAGCCGTATTTTCTTTTTTGACTTGCTACCTGAAACATGGGTAGCTGAGCAGACTTTCTCAGTGGCCTTTGATCCCATTAGAGAGTTCTAAATGGTTTGCCTAGATCCTTGAATGAAACCTGATATTAAAATAACACCAAATGGAAGTCGTAGGAGATTTGTACTGTAATATATACCCTCTCAATAGTCAAGATGCAGGGAAAATGAAATGAGTTTATGTTAACTTCATTTTTTTACTTGTAACTTTCCTTTCACTCTTGAGTGATTGATAACCCACATCTTCACATATAAGGGACACAGCAAGACATAAAAATCCCTAACTCCAAGTTGGGATTTTAGAAGCTGTCATAGCTTAGTAAACAGCAGCACTCTCTTAGATACTCCAAGAAAATTCAGTAACAAATACTGCTATTGAATTTTAATTCCTCAAAGTTTGGGTACTGCTCTGATGTCATCTTCTCACACTATTTTATCTTTCATGAGTCTTCATCATATTTGTCTTTTGTTGAGGCCTGACCTAATTACCTTATCTTTACAGATGTACTTAGGCCAGAAATGGGACCGTCTTTAAATTCTGTATTCTTGGTGCTCACTTGCCCAAGCACCACACAGGACACCAAGGGGTTGCAGAACTGATAAAGATATGGCCCTTATCCCTAAGACTAACAGTCCAGTGAGAGGTACATACATGGACCAGCAGCTGTTGTTATTGTCTCAAACTGTAGATTAAGCTGTGCTATACATTTTCTGTAGCTGACTACATAATGAACTCAAAACAGGAAAAAAAGGTCATTTGGGCATATGATTTTCTTTAAAATAACTTACAGCTTTTGCTGAAAACAATATTCAAATACTCTTCTATCAAACTCTCAGAATTGGCCTAGGGAAGGGTATTTTAAATGCTGTTTTTTTTACCAACTGAATAGAAGAATGAAACTCCCCATGTTTTTGTCTTCACTGGAAATAATAATAAATGCAGAGGTAAAAGTTGTGGACCCTGAGTGGACTTACCATTTTACTGTTTTGAAAGTGCTTTCTTGCCAGGCTCACTGGCTTACATCTATATCCCAGCACTACAGGAGACTGAGGCCGGCAGATCACTGAGTTTGAGACCAGACTGGGCAATATGGTGAAACCCCATCTCTACAAAATATATAAAAGCCAGTTGGGCTTGATTGCATGCCTCTGTAGTCTCAGCTGCTTGGGAGGCCAAGGTGGGAGGATTGCTTGAATCTAGTTCAAGGCTATAGTGAGCTGTGAGCACGCCACTGCACTGCAGCCTGGGTGACAGCAAGACTTTGTCTCCAGAATCAAAAAAAGTGCTTTCTTAAAATTAAACTTGTAGTCAGTCACATTGTGACTTTGGACAGAGGGAGTTAATATCCCCTTTGGTTTCTTAGTTAGTTTATTGAGAATCACCCTGTAAAATTTCTTCGTGATGATACCGAGATAGGAGACTGGATGATCTAGTTCATGTTTAATGGTCCTTAGTTCTACAACTCAACTTGTAAGCAAGCATGATACTTCACCCTGCTTATTTTCTCTCTCTTTTTGCTAAAGTCTGTTTGGATGGTTGGGGAGCCATTCACCCAAGGTTGTCACTTGTTTGTTCTGTTTATCCTGTGGGGACCATCTGTATACAGTACCTAGGGTTTATAAAGGTCCATTGCATTGAAGATGTTTATTACAGAGCCTTGCTGTCTTTATATTGTGTTAGATACATTTCTCTATTTTCAGTCAGTAGACTTTTTAAGATGTAAATAATTTTAAAATATTCTTTCTGATCTTCTTTTTAATTACAGAGCAAAGAGATTGCATTCCAACTTCATGAGGATTTAATGAAGGTTCTTAATGAGCTTTATACGGTAAGCACATAATCCTTCTTCTTTTCTAGAATTCTTGGGTTAGAATTCTGGTTTGTAAAAACACTGCTCATTGTAGTATTCATTCCAAGCCAGAGTGACAATAGATCCTCATCTGGTTGAAATACAGGAACAAGTGGATAGGGGTACACAGTTGCATTCCTTTGCCACTCCCTCTCAATTTGGAGAAACTGTACTCAGATAAATTGTCTATCTATCTATCTATCTATCTATCTATCTATCTATCTATCTATCTATCTACACATGTATATACACAATTAGCACATTTTGGGAAACTAAAGTATAGATGTCTCCATAAGACATGTTTTTAACTGGATTGTGTGTGATCTATACATGTATTGAATTCAAGAATATGTTGTTTAAAATTGATGCCATTGTGGCCGGGGGTGGTGTAATCCCAGCACTTTGGGAGGCTGAGACATATCAGTCACTTGAGGTCAGGCGTTTGAGACCAGCCTGGCCAATGTGGTGAATCCCCATCTCTATTAAAAATGTAAAAATTAGCCGAGTGTGGTGGCATGCTCCTGTAATCCCAGCTATTTGGGAGGCTGAGGTAGGTTGAACCCAGAAGGCGGAGGTTGCATTGAGCCAAGATCACACCATTGCACTCCAGCCTAGGCAGCAGAGTGAGACTCTATGTCAAAAAAAACCAAATGTTGCTGTTGTGGAACTTGAGCAATTTAGTTTGCTTTATTCTGGTACTTTCTTTTTTTTCCTGCATTTTAGTTCAATTAATTGTTTGGTTAATGACATTTTTAAATTACTTTTGAAAGATATCTCTTTTTGCAATAATTTGCTTTTTTGACTTACATTTTATTTAGGGTACTTCATATAATCATTAAGAATTAAATAATTTAAAATACTTTATTAAAAATAATGAAAACTAATGATGTTGCAAGTTGGAATTAGTAATATATTCATGTAAATATTTTTTCATACTTGATCAAGTTATTAAAAACAAATTTGGGGGATATTTTACTCTAAGAGAATAAAATAACATAATAAATGAGTAACATTTATAAATGAGTAATTTGTACTAGTGAAAGATATTTGAATTTTTATTGCACAATATTATTTGATTTTTTTTTTGAGAAGGAGTCTTGCTCTGTCACCCAGGCTGGAGTACAGTGGCGCAATCTCCATCACTGCAACCTCCACCTCCCAGGTTCAAACAATTCTCCTACCTCAGCCTCCCAAGTTGCTGGGATTACAGGCATGCACCAGCTTGCCTGGCATATTTTTTTGTATTTTTAGTAGAGATGGGGTTTTGCCGTGTTGGCCAGGCTGGTCTCAGGCTCCTGGCCTCATGTGGTCTGCCCGCTTCAGCCTCCTAAAGTGCTGGGGTTACAGACATGAGCCACCATGCCCATCCTAAATTTTTTTTATAGGCAGATTAAACCTGAAACTTGAAAACATGTTTCTTGATTTACCAATTTCATTTGTTCCTAAAAAGCCACATGTGTAAAATACAGTTTTGTAAATTAAATTTTTAATGCTCCTTTGATACTAATTAAAGAAACTTGTAAATTAAACTTTTATAAAATGACTCTTTATAAAATGAACTTTCTAATTTTTTTTTTTTGACATGGAGTCTCCCTCTGTTGCCCAGGCTAGAGTGCAGTGGTATGATCTCAGCTCACTGCAACCTCCGCCTCCTGGGTTCAAGCAATTCTCCTGCCTCAGCCTCCTCAGCAGCTGAAATTATGGGCACCCACCACCACGCCCATCTAATTTTTGTATTTTTAGTAGGGACAGCATTTTACCATGTTAGTCAGGCTGGTCTCAAACTCCTGACCTTGTGATCCTGCCACCTTGGTCTCCCAAAGTGCTGTCATTACAGGTGTGAGCCACCATGCCCAGCTACTTTCTAATTTTTGTATGAGTGTGATAAATCTGTATTTTTGTAAAGCATATTTACTACTTCTGTACATATAAATTGAATTGGCGGTTTCTGTGTGTTAGTTCCTCCTTAAGAAACTTTTGACTCCCTAGAAAAGCCTCAGGTTAAGAGATTACATCTATATACCAAATGCCTATTAAAACTGATTTTTACATGATAAAGGCCAATTTCTAGCCCATGCCTTATGTGATTTGTTAATTTCTGATACCCTAAGGTAGTAACCATTTCTAGAAGCCCTATAATTTAAAAGTTAAATGACCACTGTACACCTGAGACTTCCAAAGAGGAACAAGCAGAAATTCTAAGGACTTTGTGGCACTTTCCTTGTGGTTCCTTTTGCTTAGATCTTATTTTACTCAGAAATATAAGTCATTTCCTAATATCTTAAAAATGTAAGTCTGCTGGTTGTTACACTATCATGGTTTAGAGCCTGTTGATTATGGTCTGAAACTAATAGTAGTAATAAAGGCAACAGTGGCAAAGATGACCTTGACCAGCAAATACAAGAAAAGTCAATAGAATGTCCTGAAAATTTTATCTCAGTGAAAGATAAGCATAAAAGTATATACAGTGAAATTTCTCCTAGATCCAGCCTATTGATTGCACCTAGACATTTTGCAGACTCTGTAGCATTCAAGTAAGCAAGCTGACACCTCAAAACTCTTATCAATTTCAGCCTGAAAGAGCCAGGTTCTACCAAATGCCACCAGGGTTAGAGTGACCCTGTCAGAGTCATTTAAGCTCTCAGAATTGGTTGAGGAATTAAGGGATGGGGGAGACAGGTAATGAGGTTTTAATTATGTCATCTGTAGATCACTTTGAGCCCCTGGGAAAAAAAATTACTTTAATCAGAGAGCATGTTCAGCAAAGCCAGAGGTCACGTTCTGTGGGGAGAGAACTTCATATCACTCATGCACACACACTCTCTCTCCCTTTTTATTCTAAAAAGAGATGGTATTTGGTCTCTCTCGCACTTTATCTTCAGATAGACAAACTCTGTCTTGTTCAAATAAAATCTGTCCATTCTATTAATACTTCTTCAGTTTACATTAGAAAAGAGGGAAGGTGAGGCATATTTGAACAGTGGACCAATATTGGAGGAATGTGGGTTAGGTTCCCCTTTCAACCACTCACTGGTATTTTGGTCATGAACAAATAACCTAGTTGCATTCATAGAATTTTGTACAACTGATGATGTAATCGTGATTGCTGAAGTAACAGGTATAAATACATAGCCTTGGGGAATTGAGGATGCTTTTTAATTGTCTTTTCTGGCAAATATGCACTCCTCACTTGCTCTCAAACCTTGACACTTCTGAATGGGGTTGAAAGTGAGCACTTGTGAAGTATACTAGCTTCCATATGCCAGGGGAGTACTTAAATTACAGTCAACCTTAGTGGTGGGTGACAGCCTTATGTGTGGACTTCCTTACCCCAGAATATTGTTCCCACAGCAATTGTTGATTGTTTCAAACATTTTGTCAGAAGGCTTTGTCTCAAATAAAATACATATACCCAGGAAGGAGAATAGAGAGAGATACCTTATGGTCATTTATATGTTAGAATGAACTGAGTTTTACTAGCCCAGATTGTGCGGATGATGGGGTAGATATAATATCATATGATGATATGATAGATATGTAATACAATAGAGTGCAGGTTGTGTGGATGTGGCACAAAGCCCTGGATTTACAACAGAAGACATGATGGTGACAGTAGAGTGGCTACTGAAAGAGGAGGAAAGGCTTTGAAGACTTGTAGCTCCTTTTCTATATTTTTGCTCAGTCTTGCTTTTATTTTCTGGAAAGAAAAAGGCCTCAAATGGTTTTGAGCCTCTATTTGAATGCTAAGGCCACTACAAAGGATAGCCAGATTAAGATTAGTTCAGTCTTCACTGGGTACAGTGGCTTATGCCTGTAATCCCAGCACTTTGGGAGGCCAAGGTGGGTGGATCACCTGAGGTCAGGAGTTTGAGACCAGCCTGGCCAACATGGTGAAACCCCATCTCTACTAAAAATACAAAAATTAGCCAGGCGTGGTGGTAGACGCCTGTAATCCCAGCTACTAGGGAGGCTGAGACAGGAGAGTCACTTAAACCTGGGAGGCAGAGGTTGCAGTGAGCCAAGATTGCACCACTACACTCCAGCTTGGGTGACAAGAGTGAGACTCCACCTCACAAAAAAAGAAAAAAAAGAAAAGAAAGATGATTAGTTCAGCCTTGAAGAACAAAGGTTCTCAAAATAATGGCATAAACCAAATAAATGTTTGTATTCGCTCTCACATTAAAAAAAGACCAAAGACTGACAGTGCAGGCCTGGTATGGAGATTACATAAAGCCATCTAAGACCCAAGCTCCTCCTCCTGCATTGTTCAGATAAACCCCATCTTAACTTTAGCCCTTAGAATTCAAAATGATTGCTAGCACTCCAGCCATTATATCTGCATTCATGGCAACAGAATGGAAAAAGGGAAGAAGGGCCTTGACTCTTAAGGAGACTCCGTAAAAGTCCCACACAAGACTTTCTATACATCTCATTGGCCAGAACTTAGAACATGCTCCCACCAGACTGCAAGGAGGTCTGTGAATTACAGTCCTTTAGTTAGCCAGGTCATTGCTAACCAGTTTTTTTTAAATGGGATTCTGTTAATTTGAAAGAGAAGGAAGTTATTTGTAGCTAACTAGCTATGCCTGCCAGATTAGCTAACATTTACCATGAGCTTATTATGTTTGTGCTAGTTATTGTGCTAAGCATATTATTTGCATTATCTCATGTAATCCTCACAGCACCTCCATGAGGTAGTTATTCTCATCATTCTCGTTTGACAGACAAGGACAGTAAGGCTCAGAGAGACTTGCCCCAGGGTGCATAGTAAGTGGTAGGGTGAGATCTCAAGTCCAGGAATGGCTGCAGAGCCTCTGCCCTTTACAGTCATTTTATCTCATGCTGTAGTTGTGGGGAACTATTTTCTAAATAAGATCTCTAAATGTTAATGCCTCCCCCACAAAACAGAGAACATAAGCAATTTATCTCCAGCTCATTTATAGTTTTAGAATCAATGGCATTAATGTTGCTTTAACAAA